AAGAAAAAGAAAAAGAAGAAAAAGAAGAAAAAGAAAAAGAAGAACAAGAAGAACAAGAAGAACAAGAACAAGAAGGCAACATTGGTTTACCCTTTTACAAAAAAGTTGGGTATCAGCAACAGAAGTTAGCAAATCATTCATAATGCATAATACGAAATTTCAAATCTGACAGGACATAATGCAACATTCATAGTATAAAACCACAGATCTTCCTCTTACAAGTTTACACGCAGTCCTTATCACCTCTACAAAAAACCTTTGCTCATTAACATAGCTCAATAATATACCCACTGGCCACCCCTCATAATCTAGTCATACCAAAATGCTGAGCTCTTTACGAATTCGATGACTGTAGTTCAACAAAAGAAGAGGAGGAATAAGGAAAAAGTGGAGGAAGAGAAGGAAAAGAAGGAGGAAGGGGAGAGGAAGAAAAAGAGAGTGGGGAGGAGGAGTGGGAAGAGAAGGGGGTCAGAGAGGAGGAAGAGGTGGGGGAGCAGAGAGAGAGAGAAAGTGGGGAAGGAGGAGAGGTGTGAGAAGGAGGTGAGGAGAGTGTGACAAGGACAGTTTTAAAAAAAGCAACAAAAAATAGCAATAAGAAAACTTCTTATTGGCCTTTTCTCTGAAAAAGAGCTCTTCTGCGTTCTCACATTTCACTAACGATACTTCACCTCTAAGCGACAGCAAGAAAATTACCGCCCATTCTAACAAGAAGCACCAGTACCACCACCACCACCTCCAGCTTCATCATCATCATCATCATCATCATCTTCATCATCATCATCATCATCATCATCATCATCATCATCACCACCACCACCACCACTACCCCCAGCACCATCGCCATCCCAATCATCATCGTCTTCACTATTATCATCCCCATCTTCACCACCACTATCCTCTACACTATCAGCAAAAACCTCTATCACCACCCCCACTACCACAACTACAACCATCCCCCAAAAACCACACAAATTAGTCTCCCGATCTCCCCAAGCAAGACAGAGTAGGTTTTGGGGTAGTACAGGGACGGAGCAATCCGCGCACTGATGTGAAACGACAACAACAACAACAACAACAACAACAACAACAACAACAACAACAACAACAACAACAACAACAACAACAACAAAACAGAACTTACAATAACCTTTCCCTAGTTAAAACATTTCCTAATATTACAACCCCCCGCCAACTCCC